TTTCATTTACAACCTTTAACTTTCATTCTTATTTTGCTTTGGCCAGGTAATTAACAATAAATCCGAAATGGCGTATTAAAGATGATAAAATATAACTTCCACCGATTGGAATGAGTGGAAAGTGAGTTTTCAAGTAGTTTTCAGCGAAAACTGGTTTTCGTTTAACAGATTTTATATGGACGAAAACACAAGTTTTAGGTCGAAAACCAGTTTTAGCAACGAAAACATGTTTCCGATGTCGGTCAGAACATGGTATAAGTAACAAAAACAAGACCAACGTGAATCAGCTGTTTCTCGACTTGTGGGCACAAAATGTGGGTTTTTGCGTTTCCGTACTTCTGAACTTTGTTCCATTTTTGAAAGAAAATGTTTCTCTTATTCTCTAATTACCAAATCCGGTCCGGATTGTTAGGGAAAGAACCTAGTGTTGATATTATCAGTGAACTCTAATTTTCGATTTTCTTTCCTCAACGTTTAAGACATTGTGATTTAAATAATATCAACAAAATTTCTGTGAAAAACCGAAACCGGAACGAAACCGAAACCAAAACCGAAATAAATTTTGAAGAACGAAACCAAAACCGAAACCGAAACACTTGACAAAACCGAAACCCAAACCGGAACGTTATTTTGAATCGGTTTCATTCCTTGGTGTTTTTCCTTTATTTAATTAATTTTTTTCCTTTTTTAATTTTACTCTTTTGTTGTTTAGATTTAGTTCTTTTTTCTTTTTTATTTTAAACTAAATTTTCCTTTTGTTTTTAGGTTTTATTGTTTTTAAAAGAAAACAATTTTTTAAATTTCATTTATTATTAATTTTTTTCTTTTTTAATTTTTCTCTTTTGTTAGATTTAATTGTTTTTTTTGTTTTTTTTTCTTTTAAAATAAATTTTCGTTTTGTTTTTAAGTTTTATTGGTTTTAACGAAAAATTTCATTTAATTTTTAGAAATTTTTATTTTTTCTTTTATTTTTAATTAAATATTTGCCTTTTTTATTTTTTCTTTTAATATTTAGATTTAGTTTTTTTTTCTTTTTATTTAACAATTATTTTTTTTGGCTTTATTGTTTTTAAAAGAAAAACTTTTTTAATTGCATTTATTTTTTAGAAACTTATCTTATTTTAACTTTTTTTAAATTAAATTTGTCTCTTTTTTATTTTTTTCTTATAATTTTTATTGCCCTGTAAGCAAGGCCGTCGAGTGAAAACCCGGACTAAAAAATCATGGGCCCCTTTACATAAATTGTATTAATTTAACTGAATATGATCATTTAATTTAATTTATAGAGTCAGAAACAATCAGCAGGAATTGGAATATATTTTTATAATAAAAGCCTATAACGAAGGAGCAATTACATTTTTAAAAGAATAATAACAAGTTATGCTTATGATATTTCGGGCCACTTAAAAGCCCGGCTCCGGAGGGATTCACCCCTTTTTTTCCCGTCCCCCTCGACGGGCCTGCCTGTAAGACAACTGTTCTTGGCGTATAAGCGGGAGGGTTCTTTCTAGACGTTTCCAATTAAACTAAGACTTTTTACTATACAAACCTTTTTTGCTTTTCAAAACAATTTTTTCATTGGCCAACGCAAAAGTGCTTCTGAAGCGTCGCCAAGCACGCGTCAAACTTCTGCTCGATTGTGCTTCAATTAATACTTACTACTCGCCCACAACATCGTCAATTAAAACAGCAATTTATTTATATTTTTTTATTAATTAATGATATATTATTTATTAATTATATTTAATTAAGGAATTCATTCAACTGACAGTTTGCATTTAATTATCAATTAATTCAGAAACATTAAATATATATAATTAAATTTCTTTATCGTATGTAATTGGTAGACCAATGTAATGCATAATAGTTATAATATTACAAACATACATAAGTAAAATAATACATAGTTTAAATAAAGAAATTCAAATAAAAATACAAATAATAATTATAAATGTACGCAAAACATGTACAATCTTATTGCAACATTGGTAAGCATTTGCGTTCACGTCACACAATTTCACTTTTCGCATTTTGCTTTTCATTTTTTTTTTAGTTTTGTTTCTCCTGCATTTAACTTAATTATTGTTTATGCTCATGTGCGCATAATTGTATGTATGTATTTATGTATGTTTATATTAGTCAATATTTTATTTCGTTACTATAATACTCGTTTATTCCACGAGATAAGTCTTAAAACGTGGAAACAATTCAAAAGAATCGCGTGGAATGCAGGACAAGTCGGCAAGTAGGAAGGCGCAAGCTAATACATATGTATATTCAATAGTTATTACAATACATGCATATATATGTACTATAGATATACATGCATATTTATATAATTATTTACTCAAATAGGGCAAATTTTTTGTAATTTATTTTTTGTAATTTTCAAGTTTTTATTTTGTATTAAAAACTTAATGCGATAAACATCGATAAAATACAATACTTTATTAAATTAATATTATGTTTTTTTTTTCTTGAAAATTAGACACAAAATAAACAAACGCTTAAATAATCATAAAGAAAATAGATGCGCGCAAGCAAGCTCGTTTAACAAGAAAAGACAATTTTAGATAAATTTTAACAAAACGTTATTGGTAAACGAACTTTAGAAAAAAATTTAAAATTATTTAAAAAATTTTGACGCGAAAAAAGTTTGAAATTTAGCTCAGTAGAAATAGTTTACATACAAATATACATAGTTGAAGGAACACCAGTGTGAGCGTGTGTCGAGGCAGCAACGCGCCGGAGTACCTGAAGAACTGGATACGTGTTTTGTAGACTCTCGCCTTTGAATTTGTGGTTGCTACGGCTTTTTGAACACTACGAATAAATACTCGTACGAAGTAGACTCCGACACCACTGTGCTGTTGCTTGAAGACGCTGTTAAGAAGCACTTTTTGCGGTTTGCAAGCACTAAACGCAGACGCAGCATTTGGTTGACATGGTTGGTGGTATATTGCGTGGGATGGCATATGGGGGGTTGTGATTTTTGTTAACTTCAAAATTATGTAATTGCAAATATTATCGCTTGCTCACGGATGACGCATGCGCGTTGGTGGTTTTTGGTTGGTATGTATGTAGCAAGTTTTTTATTCTCCTTTCTCGAGCTGAACTACATCGATTTGCTGGCTCTGCTGCTTCTTTTACTTCCATGATCGCGCTTTTTATTTTGCTTACGGCTATGGTGCGTGGCTTAATTTTGAAAAAAGCACAAAAAGTCAAAAGCTTAATTGCACTTTTTTTTCTCGGCGGTGCACCAAGCATATGCTTAACTGGTCTGTGTTGGCATCGCAATTGGGTAAGAAAAGGGTTTTATAAACTTCATTTTGATACGATTTTTTTTTTTGCTTTAAAATCCCTTTTTGGGTTGCAGGTGTCAAGAGATTTTTCAGTGAAAGTTTTGCGGTTGTGAATCATTTTTAAGCTCTTCTATATTTTTGCAGTTTACGCAGCTGCTGTTTACCAGTTGGGCATTGAGTTTGAAGCGTTTCTTAGTCGGCTTTTTCACGAATCAATTCCATGAAAGCAATTTTTTCTCTTACTGTTTTGTGTGTTGCTATTTGCTTTCACAAGCGTCAACTTTTATTGAATTCAAGTTTACGCTTCTTTACTGAATTTCTCAATGAAAATTCCAGAGGCAAGGCAACCAAAACTTAAACCACTTGACGGTTTGGCGGTATCTGTACTCTTTCTCTGTCTCTACTCGCCGCCATCGCCTACGAAAACTTAACGTGTTTGATAGGGGACAAAGGCGTTGGGATAGCTTTTTTTTTAATTAAGTTGCAGTTTTTTTGTTTACTTTTAAATTTTTTATAAATACTTGCTGCTTCATTTTTCTTTTCAGCTTAGTCAATGTCTTTATTTTTGCATTATTTTAGTACATGCGTCCACAGGTATCCTGATGCATATTTCTAGGAAAACGCAAAATAAACAAAAACCAAATATTTTACAATTTAATAATTTCAATTTAATTTTCTGCTCATGAAATTGTGATTGGTGCGAATTTTCAAGTACATAGATTTGTGCACGAAATTAAATTTCTAGCGCATTCTAGGCAACCTTGCGTCTTGTATACAACAATCTGTGTACACAATGAAGGAGATGGAATGCAAATGCAAAATAGTGAGTGATGTGTGATATTGTCGCGTTTTTTTTTTATGTTAACGAGTATATACAGTTGCGAAATTGCGAATGAGGTGCCATATGTGTATGCATGTATGTATATGTGTGTGCAATTATCAAAGAGTGCAAAATGTTTGGAAATATTTGTGCGCTTATACATACACCAATTGATCCTTCCCACTCACCACTCACCCAAGAAATTGCGGTAAAGTTATAAGCGCTGCTTGCCATACAAATATTTACAGGCTGCCTCCTTTTGAATTGGCTGTACAAGTAAAAACATCCTTCCATATTTGAGCTGCTGTCAATAAACCCAAACACCAAATAATTTCTTTTAACCATTTGTTTTTTTTTTTTTTAAGCAAATTCAAAACCCCTTTCACCACCATTGACCACACAGTGAGCGCCAATGCAGGAAGATCGCTAAATGCAGTTCGTTCAATGCCATGCCATTCGCGCGAGTAGCGCAGCGTTTTATTACAGATTTTCAATTTATATATGTAAGTACAATTTTGCGGTAATTGTTTGCTGTTGCCTTATGTAGGTATGGATTTGTGCAAAGTGCATGTAGTAGATATGTAATTATTTATATGTATAGGAAAATTACTGTAGCGGTAAGAGTACGTAGGTGCGTGCGTGCATGCGTGCGTGCAACATTTATGCTTTCATTTCATTGTCTTCGTTCATGTAATATTTGTTTTGTTTTTTTCTCTTTTATTTATTTTTCATTAATTTAAGTGCATGAGAGGAGAAGTGCTTAAAATTGAGCTGGCGTTTTGCCGTTTATCGCCATACACATTGACTACATCTACAAGTAGAAGTAATAGAAAAAACGAAATTGAAGAGTGATATTTAGTAAAAGGCATACAAAATCATTTTATACAAAACAACAATTTTTAAAGTGATCGAAACTAAATAACTCAAGTTAGGTGATTAAGAAATCGCCAGCTAGTAAGCAAAATTGCAATAAGTTATATATGTATATGTAAGTACATATAATTTTTTAAAAATTTTATTTTTTATGCAGAAATGTTCCTAGAGCATCAAGTTTTGAAAAAAATTTCGCTTAAATCTTTTTGGTGGTTAGCGCTCGATATGTAGGTCATAAAAATACCCATACTTGAGTTATATAGCTTCGTTCATACAAGTACATACTATATATGCTTTTAAAATATAAATATATATAGATACCATTATGTAATCAAAGAAATATAAATAATACAATGTAAACCAAAACACCTCATACGTACTAAATATACTACATATATAATATATAAAAAAATATGTACCAATATAAAAAGATGTCCAAAAAATTTCAGCCCAGAAAGTCAATATGCAAACTATTTGACAAGACTAATTGTTCTCGATGAAATCAGCTCTCTATTAGCTGGCATTTAAACCTGAAAAATTAGGTTTAGTTAAGTAAGACCTTGCAAGTTTTATGTATTTCTGAATACTATTAAATACGTAAACAGTTGTTTATGATACCATTACAAAGAAGAGCGTGGATACAAAGAGGAGCAAACAAGGAGAACAAAATAAGGAGCGATTTGATAAACAGAGAGAACGCCCAAATAGAGCTTTGAATATCGGAGAGAACTTTTACTCTCAGCGTGTTTATATTTAATGTATAGAAAACTTTATAAAGCTCCTTCCGCGCGATGTTTCGGTTGAGACTGATCAAAAATCTATAGAAATCTTTCAAAAACTCCACCAGCGGAATATGTTTTGGGCGTGACTAATATAAAATCTATATAAGGCTTTAAAAAAGCGTTCCCTGTGTCAAAAAGAAGGTTAAATTATGTTAACATAGATCAGACTAGCCTGGTAACATAATATTTAATAAATTATGTTAAGTTATTAAAGTTAAAGCAAAGGACTAAATAAATTATCCTTTGTTATGCTATTAAGAAAAAGAATACTTAGAAAGCTTTAAACAGCTTTCTCTGGAATAAGTTTGGATCCGGACTAACATAAACTTTAAGCTCGCAAAAGCTGGTCAGCTGAGTAACAGATGTTGCAATGAAGTATTGGCTTAAGTTGATGCTGAGCATTACCACATGGATTTCAATCAGACAATGACCAGTGCAAACTCTCACTATCAATTATAAATCTGGTTTGTTTCATCTGCAAAGCTCCCTAGACCACTACCGGTCAACTCGTGGTCAAAAGAATCCAGCTATTTTCGAGTTGGAAAAAAAGTTAAGCCCCTAAACGCTCCCTAATCTGTGATAGCTCCTCAAGAGTTCTCCGCCCCACTAGCTAATCGGTTATGCATTTACCCTGTATATCACTGTGCCTTCGAACCCATAT